GGGGAGGCATACTATGATGCAGGTGTGAGAATGGTATTCCTGGGGGGCAAAGAATGGAACAGCACCTGTCTTGGGAGAAGCAAGCCTCGATTAACAAGGAAAAGGGAGATGTGTCTGAAAAACAGAGAGAATTAGAGCAGCTATTATGAAGATATAGGGGCAGATGGCATTGGGGTGGACCAAGAGTAACTGGAACCTGCGAGATAGGTGGGATCCAATTGAGAAGAGTATGCTCTGCCCCCAGCCTCCCTTCCCCTATCCCACACCCCATACCACACACACACACACACACACACACACACACACACACACATCATTGCCCTTTTAAATAATTATAAAGCAAATGAGAGACATTCCATTTCTGTCCCTGAAATTCTCAAGAATTCCTAGAAACCCACACAAATAAACATTAGAAAGATTCACTGTGACCAACAAAAATCTACCTTTGTCTCAATCCCAAAACTCTATTTTCTGTAGAGAGCAAAAATTACTGGTCCAAATTCTTCGAGCTTCCCACCCCAAATACACCTACCACAACAAATAATTTCTCCCTGGCTTTGCATTCTCTCAGTGGTGGCACAAATGGTTCAGACTGCACCATGAAGCCTTTGTTTATGTAGAAAGGGGCAAAGGGCAGATCTTCCTGTCTACAAAGCAGATAGGAGGCCCTGTGGGATACAAACTAAGTGCTTTTGTTCACTTTGGAGACCATGGTCCCCAGTGAATTGCAATGTTCTGTTTACTCCTCCTCTCTTCCCACAAGAAGCCAGAGACACCTCCTTGAAACCAGGGCTGTATCCTAAGCAACCAGCACAATGCCTGACCCGGAGTAGGCACTTGATAAAAATGTACTAAAATGAACGAAAAATGAAGACTTATGTTGGCCAACATAGTTCAGTGCATGTGGTGGGAGAAAACTAAAATAAAATCACTTTTTTTTCCCCAGCTTACTCCAGCCTCTCAACTACCTGACTTAGAGTTCTGAAGAGATGCGAAGGTGAGGTTCCTGGGCAACTTGATTCCATGCCTCCAAGTCCCAGATTTATGGGTTCGGGTACTCTGAGCAGCCCACAATTCCTTATAAATGTGAGTCACTCAGTTAGTTTCTTGTACACAGATTTGCTAATGACTGTTCACCACCACTTCCCATTCCATCTTATGCCTACCAGTAAGGTTTTAAGACATTAGAAAAGCATGTTTATGTCTTATTAAAGTGAGAAAACATCAACCCTGGAGAGACAGACTGACCACTCACTTGATTCCTGACTGATCACGGCACTGTGACAGGCACAGTGGAGAATAAAGCAGCTGTTTTGCCCTGGGTGGACACCTATAATCTAGCGTGTGAGAACTGAGTCAGCGCACTCATGTGGTAAGGGTCTGACAGAAGCCATACATAGGTAGAGGGACGTGCTTAATTGAGTTTGGAGAGAAAGGTTTTTCAAGGCAGAAGGAGCCACATGGCAAAAGCTACTGAATAAGCATGGGAGATGTGAGGATAAGCAAAGATAAGCAGAGGATCCAATATGGAATTGGCAAGGGTAACAGTGATGGTGACTTTAGATATGCCATGCTCGCTCAAGAGTATAAACTAGGGTTTACAATAAAACACTACATCTCAACTCCTCTCCATCTCTACGTGCAGGCCAAATGTACCTCACCTACACAACACACTCCCTTGTCAGGTTTTAAGACATTAGAAAAGCGTGTTTAAGTCTTATTAAAGTGAGAAAACATCAACCCTTAGACCAGGGGTGGGCAAACTTTTTGAGTCGAGGGCCACAATGGGTTCTTAAACTGGACCGGAGGCCCGGAACAAAAGCATGGATGGAGTGTTTGTGTGAACTAATAAAATTCAAAGTAAACATCATTACATAAAAGGGTACGGTCTTTTTTTAAATTTTATTCATTTCAAACGGGCCGGATCTGGCCCGCGGGCTGTAGTTTGCCCACAGCTGCCTTAGACAAACCCCGATCAGCAGCTACGCCGTCCACTAAAAAGACTGAATTATACGCATTCCTGGGCTTCTTGGTTCAATGGCACCCCTTTCTCCTCCGTCTATAATTGCATCTCAGAAGCCAAGTGAGTGGAATTGAATTGGCATAACCACAATCAGATTTTGTTTTCTAAAATGCAAATCAATAAAAAATGCCCTTCTTTAATTGAAGTAACTTCAAATTTGCAATGCACTTCACCTTGAACAGTGGTTCACCAATGCGGGGTGACACTGCTACTGAAATCCTCCCTGTTAGAGCCACTCTAACAAGATGACATGGAATCATGCTATTAGCCCTTTGTTCTGCTTTCCTTATATGCGGTTAGGAAATAGGGCAGTGTGGAGGCTCACTTAAGTGAAATAGCAACTGGGGTGCAAATAAAAATAACCACAGTCTTGTCTGCTGGCAAAATCAATCAGGAGCAAACTTGAGACAAGTTTGCTACATCAAGGAAGGTTTAGGTATGGAATGGTGTTTCAGCTCTTACAGAAACTACCCCCATTATGCCTTCTGTATGAACTCTTATGTCAAAGAGCTCTCCCCATGTACCTAAACACGGACCTTTCTATTTAAAAAAAAAAAAAAAAAAAAGAGTCATGCTCTTCTTCCTGCCAAAAACGTGTTCCAAACTCTCTGAAGGCTGCTTTAAATATGGTCAATGATTATAGGGCAGGCTGAATTCTATTTTCTTAGGAGTTGGTTCCTTCTCCCTCTCCCCTATTTTAATTTTGACCAACACCTTTCACCTCCTAAGACAGGTATCATCATGGCTTACAGCAGGACTCTGTTTTGCAGCATAAACACCTTCATACGCTTCCTCCAGGCTGCCAACACCCATCTCAGCCATGACTACCTCCCTTTCATCAGACCAGCATCCCTTCTTATATGGTTACGTGTTAGAAAGACCCTGTCCTGCATGTGATTTCCCAAACATGACCAGAGTTGTAGAAAAAATGTTTTCATGTAAAAGACATTTCTACTAGGTTAAGATCAGTTAAGAAATCTACCCCAAATTATTTTTGCTCTTTGCTCACTTTTCCCCACTCCTGGCTAAAGATAGAAACACAGTTCTGGGGATTGGCCCACTGATGTATTTTAGGACAAAAAGCCAAAACAAACAAAGCTGAGAGTATGAGTGTCATAGGGATGCTAACGCATGGTTTCTCAACAGTGACTGCTGAGAGCAATGCATCACCTGTCAGGTTTCATATACACCAGAAGCCTCTCTAATTTGTTTCTCAGTTGACCTCGCAAATCAGCTCTTATTCTGAATAAGCGCAAACTCATAGGCTGACATCTCCAAAGGTCACATGGGAGATCACAGTTCCCTTTAGATGGTGTCTTGAAAGAGTCCCTTTCAAAATCTATAAATATATATAAAAGCCCAGTGACCATTATGTTGGAACGACCAGAATGACCTGTTGGTATGATGCGCACTGACCACCAGGGGGCAGATGCTCAACGCAGGAGCTGCCCCCTGGTGGTCAGTGCTTTCCCACAGCGGGAGTGCTGCTCAGCCAGAAGCTGGACTCACGGCTGGCAAGTGCAGCAGTGGTGGCAGGTGGCAGCACTAAGGAGCGGTGAGCCAAATGGTAAGGAGCAAGTAGGTGGGTGGTAAGGAGTGGCGAGCCAAGTGGTAAGGAGTGAGCAGGCTGGCGGTTACGACTGAGGGGTCCCAGATTGCAAGAGGACACAGGCCAGGCTGAGGGAAGGCCCATCCACCCCCGTGCATGAATTTCACGCATCGGGACTCCAGTTCTTATATAAGTTTTCACCTGAAAGTACATTTAATATTATATTTACAGTAAAATTCTAATGATCTATAACAGCCCTTAGAGGAGGGGGGGGGAACATTTCACTAAAGCAATTACTCTTGGATTTCTCTGAGGGGCTAGAGCAGTATTAATTGTTCCTTCAACAACATTTTTTTATTTCTTTAACTTTTTATTATCTTTTAGTTCAGTTTACAATAATCATTTGTATCTGTGAAAGAATTTAAATTTATTGAATAAAAGGCTTTGCTTATGATTTATAAAGCAAACTGAAGAATAAGTTGTTGAATAGGAAGCATTTAGTGAATTAAATAATACAGTTCTGGGGATCTATAATTGATGTACATTTGATTGAAAAAAAACTATAGGTTACCATAAATATTTATACAACAACAAATGTGGAAAAATACAAAAAAGTTCAATGTGATTCCAACAGAGTACCTTTTTCCTTGAGCATAAGAGAACCAAATATTGTTAGAATCTAAAGCTGTTAAGTTTATAGAAGTGCAAAACACCAAAGAAAAACTATTTATCATGTTCTATTCTTGGCATAAATTTTAATTTTTTTCAATAGAACCAAAACCCCCTGAGCCCCTTTCAGTGTCATCTAAAACTTGAACTTCCTCTATTTCTGGATTAAAAAATCCGTTCACAAATGAGCTGTGCAATTCGGTCACCATTTTTACTTCAAAATTTTATTTGCCAAAATTAAATAGTACAACACCAAGATTTCCTCTATAATCTTCATCTATAACACCAGCTCCTACATCTATAAAGTGTTTTGCAGCCAAGCTGGAACGTGGAGCTCCTCTTCATAGCACCCAGAAGGAAGAGCTACCTGAATGTCAGTTTTCAGAAGGGTTTTCTCCATGGGTGGCATTGTGTAATCATAGGCACTGGACAGGTCGTAGCCGCGTGCGGACCCCTTGGTGCGGGTGGTGGCATACTCCCAGAGCTGCACGATGGGGGAGCTGCAGGCTGCCCTCCTCCGCATGCTGGTTGGGGGGCCAGGGACCACCCGTGGCCATGACTCCCTAGATACTCTCAACAAAATTTTATTGAGCATCTCCTTTTGTTATTGGAGAAAATTGTGGATGGTATTTCTCCTTTCCTAGTGGGAGTAGGGCTCTTGAGGTGTCACTGGAATAAGTATTTCTGGAGGCCCCTTTAGGAGAATGAGATGTGGTAGAAAGCTTATTTTCATGGAATTATATCCCTCGGTTTCAGAAGTTCCATTTCCCTTAATCCAGCCCTGAGGATTCAGTAGAGCTAGCAGCAAAGCCAGTGTCCAGTTTCATTCCATGGTGGAATTGGGTCCGGTTTAGCATTAGGCTAGTTGCAGGTCATCAGTCTATTGTGTGGGCTCCACATGGCTGTGGTCTATGTGGAAGAATCCAAGGGTGTGAGAGCCCCACAAGCCAGGAGCATGGACTCAGAGCATAAGAGGCAAGAGCAACAAGAGAGAGAATGCCCTTGTTTAGGAGATTAAATATCTCAAAGTTCATGCCCTTGTAGTAGCCATGCCTATGCTGGCCAATGACCTGTTCCCAGGTATGACTGACAGACAAGTACCTTCCCTATATCACCTAGACTTTACTGGGCATGTGTGTATCCTTCTCCTCCTGTCCAGTCCCTTACCCTATCAATCTGCAGGTAATAGGCCTGGAGAGTGTTAAACTGCAGCCTCCTTACAAGACTGCACAAATGAATGCCTACCAAATTTGGCCTTCCCTTTGCTCCTTTCCAGTTATTCATAATTAGGTTAATTTATAACTTTGTCTCAGGTATTCATCTTATCACTAAGCAGTAGCAATAATCAAAAACACGGTCCCTGCTCTTAAATAAAAAAGATTATTGCAGCTATGGACAAAAAATGGCCACATACTAAACCTGACAACCTCGGGGGAGGTCTGCATGGTGGGCCTTACAAACTCAGAGACCTAAAGTAACTACATAGGATGGTCTGAAATGAAAACTTCCTAACTAAAAGAGAGTTATGGTAGGTAGTGAGGTACTCAGCCAGCATCTTTCTTGACAAAGGGAAATCTTTACCTTAATTGAGCCTGTCTATTGTCTTTCTGCACATGCAATAACATGTCTTGGAAATGTCAGAGTAATCCCCTTTTTCCAGATCCCTCAGGGCACAACCTCCCACCAGAGCAGGAGACCACAGTACCTTTCTTGTTATCTTGTTCTCCCCATACCATGTCAATGTGCTGTAAATGTTAACTGCTAACCACCAGGCTTAGTCACTCTTCTAAGTGCCTGGGGATGGGATAGGAGGGACTAGGGAGATGGTCCTGGACAGATTGAAGTGTTCCCAGTTCTACATCTGAACACAGCTCACATTTACATAAAAGGCTCTCATACCTGCTATCCCCAGGTGTCCTGATTTGTAAATGCACTTCCCAGATTCTCCTCCTTGTTCTGGCCTGGTCTATTCTCCACAAAGACAGGATGTGCTATCCTCTGTTACAACTTCAGTTTCATTAAGGGTTCTTTTGTAGCAAGTAACAGAAAGCATTTCAAGCCTGCTCATAGACAACAGTGGGCCGAAGGTAAGGATATTGTCACAAACTACAGGAATCCAGGGGGAAAAAAAGGTAAAGAACAAAGATTTAGCAAAACACAGGGAACTAGTCATAGACGGTCTTTCTCAGCAATGAGTCTCTGCTTTCCCATAATATCTTCATGCATGTGGCCCCATAATGGCTGACTTAGCCCCATTGTTTTATGATCTCTCAATGTAAAGGTCCTTCACATACTTGAAAACTTCTATAAGAAATCAGGTTGATTTAGCTCATCTTTTTAAAACTAGGCCACTCAAGTGACCAGCTTAACTGCCCAAGTCATCTATGTCCTCCGAAGGGAAGTTACTCATCTGAGTCTGGGCAGAATGAGATTTTCTAAACAGGGACCAACACAAATCCAGTGTACTGATCCTAGCAGCAATATGCCAGGTGTTTTTAAGATCTTGGGAAATCCATGCTACTCTTACTTATAAAGGATCTTTTCTGTGTTCTATTTAGTGTATTTTAAATGCTTCCACATTCCACATTAGAGGTTATGTAAACTGTTTTATAATTGAGTTGCAGCTGACTAGTAGACAATGTTACACTGAAATTATGTGATATTTTACAGTTGTTTTTTTATTCTGTATTTCACAGCTAATAATTTTATTTTCAGAGTGTAAACATTTCATAGCCTCCTGAAAAGCTTGTAGGCACATAGGCGTGGCCCCAAAACAAACCATACTCTCTGAACAAAGAGGAAGCACTTAAGATTCTTGGTTTGGAGAGAATAAAATAATCTCAGCTGATAAACTCTGGATCAAAGGTATCCTCCCCTGTTTACCTGTCTGCCTGTGAACATGTGCTGATCTATATGAATACACCCTTTGTTTATGTTATCTTCTATGTTGCGTGTAAGCTAATGGGAAAGCTAATTACTAAACTCGGCAAAATGCACCAGAGGCTACTGTGAGAAACGCATGCCAAAAAAAGTCTAAAAATAGCTAAGCAATAAATAACCATTTGCAAATGAGAACTGTTCATGCAGTTTTCTAAACAACAGCAGATTTCTTTAAGATATTATGGTTTCCCCTGGTATTTTACTAGGTGTACTAAATCTTCCTTACTCAAAAGCAGATAATTCAAATAAGAGTGCAGCAATATTGACTGGATCCAAATTAAAGTTATTTTGAAGACAATATTGAACCATTGCCTTCATCTTAGAATAGTTTCACACAAGCATATTCTTCTAAGTTAGTTAAAAGCACCACGAGAGTAACTTCTGAGAGGCAGAGCATCCTATCAATTATTTTATTTTATTTTATTTATTTAATCCTCATCCAGGAATATTTTTCCATTGATTTTCAGAGAGAGTAGAAATATTGATGTGAGAGAAACATTGATTGGTTGCCTCCTGCATGTGCCCCAACCAAAGCCCTGGCCAGGGAGGAGCCTGGTGCCCTTGACTAGAATCAAACCCAGGACCCTTCGGTCCTCAGGCCAATGCTTTATCCACTGAGCCAAACTGGCTAGGGCCTAGCAATTATTTTAGATTATTACATTGCTAACAATGTAAGGGCCCCTCTTCAAAATAATATCTTGATTTTCTAGTGTTTCATTTGTTCAGGCTATCTCAGAGGAAAACAAATCCTATATAATAAAAGCCTAATATGCAAATCGACTGAACAGCAGAATGACCTGAGGAGCAACTGGTTGGCGGGGGGCAGGTCTGGTGAGCAGGCGGCGCCAGGCCAGCCAAGGAGGGTGCCAGTGGGCAGAGGGAGGTGACCAGCAGTGAGGGGGGGGGGGCACAGGACCAGTGAGCGGGCAGCACCAGGCCAGCCAAGGTGGGGGTGACTGGGCCCCCCAACGACTGCAGAGCCAGGCCAGCCAAGGTGGGTGCCAGGGTCCCCCCCACTCCCGATCGCCCTGCCAGTTGCCCTGCAGAGGGAGGTGACCAATGGGTGTGGCGGCAGGGGGCGGGGCCGGTGAGCGGGCTGCACCAGGCCAGCCAAGGTGGGTACCAGCGGGCCCTCCCGCCAATCACCCCGCATCCAGAACGAATTAAGTTCCAGAACTGAGGTTCCACTGTATTTATGTCACTTGAGCAAATAGACGTGGCGATATTCCTGAGTTTTATTTTCAGTGAGCACAGTCTCTCAGTTATTTAGGTTTTCTTTAATGAATTTCAATAAAATAAAAGGCTAATATGCAAATCGACTGAACAGCAGAATGACCTGAGGAGCAACTGGTTGGCGGGGGGCAGGTCTGGTGAGCAGGCGGCGTGACATGCACTAACCACCAGGGGGCAGATGCTCAATGCAGGAGCTGCCTCCAGCCCTCAGACACCAGGCCAGCCAAGGTGGGTACCAGCGGGCCCTCCCGCCAATCACCCCGCAAGTCACCCCACAGATCAGCCCTGATCGCTGGCCAGGCCTAGGGACCCTAACCATGCACAAATTTCATGCACTGGGCCTCTACTATTAAATAAGGGACTAAACCAGAGATTAAAAGTTCATTGTGGCCTGGGAATATGTTGGAGAAAGATTTATATAAGAAAGCCACAGAGTTTTCAGAGACAGACTAATTGGAAAACACCAGAGAACTAGGGATTCTTAGCAGTGGTGACATGCCAACCTTTACAAACAGTTAAAACAATATTAAATATTAACCACAATTTAAAAATCAACATATGGAGGAGTGGGTTTGATAGGTGATAACCTGAGATGGTTTTTTTCTATCCAGGACCCAATCAAAGTATTTGGTGCAATTTTTTAAGAGATCTTTAATTCTTATGGTCTTCTGCCATCACTAAAATATATGTAGTTATTGGTCTGTCCATCTGCTTCAAACTTAGCTCAACAGAGTCCCTGTTCTAATAATATATTTAATGACGCAATTAATTTCTCCTGCTTTAACAGTGCATATCCCATCAAGTGATGAACTTTGGCTCTGGTCTTACGCTTAAAGAGAACTATAGCATACTCTCCTCTTCAATTCAGGGGAAGTTATTAAATATTTTATTCCTAAATTGAATGTAATGTACACAAATAATAATTTAACTTATCATGATATATAGATTTTAGGTTAAGAGCACAGCCTATAAAATTATCAAATATCCACCCATTTCTAGATGTATGGACTTAAGTTTCTAAAGTTTCCTAAATGTAGTATTCTCAGTATAAAATAAGAATACTGACTACTTTATAAGGCTGTAGTGAGAATTAGACCAGATAAGTTACATGAAAAACAAAATGCACAGGACATTGAGTAGATAGATAATTTTATTGGAGCTACTCCAATATGGCAAACATTCATTAATGTGGAAAGTCTCACACAAAAGGAAGAGGGCCTATGGTTTTATAAGGCAGATAAATAAGAAACTCATCTTGGAATCCTATGGGATCATTTGGAAAGATGGAGGTATTACCTTGGAATATGCAATAGAATAAAAATCTATGTGTATATTATACTTAATTCTAATAAATAAAAAACAGCTGTTTTTATTAAATCACAAATATTAAACAACTCTATTTGTCAAATATTTACCTAAATTATGTGAGCGTGAAATTGTAAAACGTTTCTGACTTGGTTTTTGTAAGTAGTTCAATTCCCTTAATTTCTGAATATTCAATTTATATATGCAATGATTTACCTGTAAGCCAATCAGAATACAACTCCTTAAAGAAAGGAGTTGGGGAAAATATTATACACTCATACAGTATAAGGCTAAGGCTTGCAATGACAGACATAAATATACAGACAAAGAGAAAGAGAAACTCTATACCTTCAATTCTAAAATTGCAGTCACAGGTCAAGCATAAACACTGAAATGCAAAACTCACTGGTCTATATTAAAGGGCTATTGTCTTCCTAGTGGGCATAAGTTCTTAACTGATTTGCATTCAAACTAGACAAAAAGGAAAGACTGACAAACAAGAATCAATGTTGTCTTTTACTTGACAGAGACAAGATCTCCACAAACCATTAACTGCTTTACAGAAACCACCAAATGGTCAGACCACAAAACAAACAAACAAAAAAGCTGGTACCAGAAATCAAATGTGCATTCAAAAAGTATGAAAATCAAATACTTACAAATGGCACCAATGGACTGGAGTCCATAGCATATGACCAGGAGTCAGACTCACCATTGAGTTGCTCATCACTAGTCAGGAATGGAGCACAGAGGGTTCCAGCAGGTCTCCTTACCTGGGTGGAGTCAACAGAGTTCCAAAGGAAGGTCCGGTCCTATCCACGTTACAGCACCAAACTGTGCAAGACAAATGCGTCAGACAAGAAGATTATTTTATGTAAACCATCACAAGAGTGAGACAGAATATTCACTAATAAGGAATGTCTCAAAGACCAGGGAAAGGGCCTGTGGGTTTTTAGAGGCAAGTAAGCAAAAAGGTCACCTGGAGTTTATGGGGGTCCTGAGGAAGGATAGAAGTGGGTCTTATCTCAAAATACACCAGCACAGGATGGTCCTTACAGGATGGGAGGATTTCTTAACCATTACTGCTTTCCAGGAGCAGAAGGCTCAGATAAAGTTCAGCATTGTCACACTGTCAGTTTTATAAAATATTTACTCATATTGGCAGCTATTTTTGGAGAGACCAGTAGATTCAGCAATATACTTTACTAGCTGTATGGGGAAATTACATAATTTCTCTGATTTTTAAATTTTCTTAACAGTTCATTTAATTTTCTTAACAGCTCATAAAAGTAGTGGCTTCTTCATAAAACTGTTGTGAAGATCAAATATGATAAAGATAAAAAATTCTAACACCAGGTTCTCACCTGGTGAGCTCTCATAAACAATGATTAACTATTGTTATCGTCACCATTTAAAAATAATTGACTGCCATAAGAAAATAGGTCACTGTTTTCTTCCTAAAACCCACTTAACAATGTAAACATTCCTAAGAGCACAGAATTCACTTTTTGATTTGCCAGATTAGTTTGGTAATTTTAAAGAAACTTTTGATATTTAACAGAATATTTAAACATTTTTATTATTTCATTGACATAAAAGAACATTTTAAATTTATTTCTTTAAAATATTCTGGCCTGGTCAGCGTGCTCAGTGGTTGAGCATCGACCTATGAAACAGGAGGTCACGGTTCCATTCCTGGTCAGGGTACATGCCTGGGTTGCGGGCTTGATCCCCAGTGTGGGGCATGCCAGAGGCAGCCAAACAATGATTCTCTCTCATCAATGATGTTACTATCTCTCCCTTTCCCTTCCTCTCTGAAATCAATAAAAAATATATTTTAAAAATCTATCTATAGCAATCCTATCCTATATAATCTATCTATACTAATAAAAGGTTAATATGCTAATTAGACCAGGTCAATTGGACATCAGGACAAAGCCACAGTGGCGGGGGCTGAGGTAGAGGTGGTTAGGGGCAATCAGGCTGGTAGGGGGAGCAGTTAGGGGGTGACCAGGCCAGCAGAGAGGCAGTTAGGGGGTGACCAGGCTGGCAGGGGGCAATTAGGGGGCAACCAGGCCAGCAGGGGACCAGTTAGGGGGCAATCAGGCCGGCAAGCAGAGGCATTTAGGAGTGATCAGGCAGGCCGGCAGGGGGGCATTTAGGGGGCTGCCAGGCCAGCAGAGGGGCAGTTAGGAGGCTGCCAGACCAGCAAGGGGGCAGTTAGGGGGCAACCAGGTCAGCAAGGGACTAGTTAGGGGATGATCAGGCCGGCAAACAGAGGCAGTTGGAGGCAATCAAGCAGGCAGGTAGAGTGCTTAGAGGTGATCAGGCAGGCAGGCAGGTGAGCAGTTAGGAGCCAACAGTCCCAGATTGTGAGAGGGATCCCAGATTGCAGAGGGTGCAGGCTGGGCTAAGGTACACCCTCCCGCCCCCCGCATGAATTTCATGCACTGGGCCCCTAGTAAATAAATAACAAAAAAGGAAAAGAAAAATTTCTCAGTTCTCTACCCCTGAGAAATGCCTGGCTGGTATTTCTCAGTGGTAGAGCATTGGACCTTTTACCAGAGAGTCTCAGGTTCCATTCCCAGTCAAGGGTACAGATCTGGGTTGCAGGTTTGATCCCTGGCCCTGGTCGGTAGCATTGGAAAGGCAACCAATTGATGTTTCTCTTGCTCATCGATGTTTCTCTCTCTCTCCCTCTCTCTCCCCTTCCTTCCACTCTCTCTAACAAAATCAATGGAAAAAAATATCTTCAGGTGAGGATTAACAACAACAAAAAATTCTGCAATTGTAGAGGAAACATAACACAAATTGTCCTTAAAGAAACTGAATATTAAACAATTAATCTGAAGTCAAAGTTGGAAAAAACTGAATGGTATTTTTCTGGGTTGTGTTAAAATTCATATTTTTGCTGTTTTCTGGATGAGTTGATCTAAATTAGAAAACTGAGGATGTTTTGAGAGAAAACACATTGTTTTTAATCTTGTCATCTTATTTTAATGAGTGAATTAATGGAAATAAAATCTCACCAGATCATAGTTTATGTGGACATGGCTCCAAGCAAACAGAAGTTTTGTTGTCGAAGAAGAGCAAATAAAGCAGTCCTAGAAGTTCCTGAGTGACCCTGTAATTTTCTCCCTCTATTTAGAGCTTGGAGAGGTCTGTCACAGGGTTCAGCGTCTATATCTCATTCAATTCTCAGCCTCCTGAGGCTATTAATGCATCAAAAAGGAAAATAATTTATGCTGATTTTCTTGACTCCCTACCTGTGATGAGGACAGGCTAAAAAACTGGGGTAGATAGTGGGATGAGGGAGTAGTTTTTGTTATTTTCAGCTGAGTCTCACAGCCAGTTTACATCTGCATTGCAAAGGACTTCAGAGATATTACCATATAGCCACTGGCTAAAAGAACTCTTTAAAATCATCCAGTACATTCAAAAACAAGACAAGACAAAATTTTTATTCTAAAGACTCATCATCACAGTAGACAATCATCGAAAGCAGAATCATAGCCTTAAGAAGCTTCAAAATCTACCTAATTGTATGGGAAGTAAAGGCCAACCCTTACAAGATACAGTAGAAAATACAGAAGATACATAAGTTTCTGTGGTCTCTGAAGTTAAATAACTTTGGCTCAGATTCTGATTCTGTCACTTATAGACCATGGGCAATTAACCGTAAAATTTGTTTTCTCTACCTGAAAAGTGAGAATAAAGGAAATACACATATCGAAAAATTGCTTTGAGGATTAAAAATGATCATGTGAATATATATCTAGGCTCCTAGCCAATGGTAAGTATTCTAATGAACATTAGCCATAGTAGTAGTGGTAGTAGTAAAACATTACATAAGTAGTATATATCGTAAAGAACTTATATATAGGCTACACACATAGCCTACAATTAGTATATCTGACAGTATATAATTAAATAGTATTTATGGTGGCACAGATATAAATGTTACAGCAAGTCAAAAGAAGAAAGAACAGTGGGGTATGCCTAGGGAAATTAATGTTCTTTGTACCATGCCTGGCAGGTTGAAAGCTCTTGATAAATGTTAGGTGCTTTTATTATCAACAATTCATAGTAGGCTTTGTAGAGGAGGTTAAACTTGTGTTGAACTTAAAGAGTGGGTAAGATAGGCTAGTAAGTGAAGACAATAGCAGGACCAAAGTTACTGATGTGGGAATTAGCATGACACAGGTAAAGCCACTAGTCTAAAGAGCTCTCCGTCAATAAGTCTTCATTCTCATTCTCATTATTAATAGCTGCTTTTCCTTATATTGTGTATGTGCCAAATACTCAGAATCTGTAAATATTATCATATTTGGAGAAATGGTCTTTGCATATGTAATTAACTAAAGATTTCAAGATGAGGGAATTATCCTGAATTATTCAATAAGTGTCCTTATAAGAGAAATACAAGAGAGATCCACAGACAAGAGAAGGCAACATGGTCATGTAGGCAGTGATTGGAGTGATGCGGTCTCAAGCCAAGGACTACCAACACACATGGGGAGCTAGGAGAGGCAAGGCATGTTGATTTTGAACTTCTGACCTCCACAGACTGTGAAGGAATACATTTTTGTTTTTTGGTTTAATCACCAGAATTGTGGGTTTTGTTTTTCTCATAGCAGCCACAGAAAACTAACTCACTATGCAAATCTTTTCCTTTATTTAACCTAAGCCTTCTACAATTTTCTAAATTATAGTCTTATTAGCCTTATTATCACCATTTACAGGAACTACAGAAATATAGGGTGTCCCAAAAAATGTATATACACACACTTTGAATAATTATAAAGGCAGTCTTCGTTGAAATACATTTCATTTTCAAAATTGAGCTATCAGCTGTTAGTGTGTATACATTTTGGGGGGGACACCCTGTATTTAAAGGGCACATCTAACCTAGTCTAGAGGAAGGGGCAGGAAAGGCTTCTTAAAGGAAGAAATGTCTCAAGTGCTATCAGCAATGGGTGGGAGGAACAAACTTTGGAGAGGCTGGGGAACACTGGGAGCATGAGGAAGAGCATCTTGAATATAGATAGCACTAGGGCCCAATCAGAGGTGGAGGAGCTGCCTGAGCGTGGGTGGGGTTTCCAAAAAAACAGAATAACACTGGCCATAGGAGAGGCCACAGTAAGGAGACTTGAATAAACCAGCAGAGATCAGACTCCCTTTGTTTTATCAACAAATCCACTAGCCTTTTGATAAATAATAGATGGGCCTGTTTTATATTAAACTCCCATGGGTATGGATGGGGTGGAGGGGATAGAAAGAAGTTAAAATATCCATGGAAATTAGCATATGCTCTCCAGGGTTTTGCAGAAACCAGGTGGTAGCCCCTAAAGAAAAATCAATAACCACTGCTTCTATTTGTGGCTCTGTTTCCACAGAAACGTGTTTGTGTATGAATTTGGAAGGCAGATTTACAATGCCAATCCACCAGTCCAAAAGAGAGAAAAATTCAGTTCAAGTAAACTTTTGTAGAAACAAATGCTTAATTTTACTAACATTTTCCATTTAATTAGCTGAATCTGGGAGGATAAGCTCAGCCATGCTCCTACAGGTGCAATACTACTGAAATCTGGGAGCGACATTAGCTTCAGGAAAGGATACATGGGAGTGATAGGAAAAAGTTTGACCTGACAAGTTGAACCTATTTGCAAGAATAATATAGTCAAACTTTAGAGCACTGTGCTAACGAGGTTAACACTAATTACAAGAAAACAGCAAGGACAAAAAGCCTTCACTTTTTGTTTTATCTTTCCTAAATATTAAATGCTGCACAATGCATATTGTAGGCACATTATAAAAATGTTGTTGAAATTACGTG